TTTTTTTATTTAAAAAATAATAATAATAAAATAATAAAAAATAATAATAAAAAAACAAAACAAAACACCATTCTTTTTCAAATGATATGCTTAGATTATATGTACCCTAAAATTGAATGCAGGGATTTATTGGGTATTTCAGAAATAGAACCAGGTTTCTGCTGGTGTTTTAATGAAATAACCTAATCAAATGTGTTTTTTTTAAATAATGATTCATTTATTGATGGGGAAAAAATTATTTCAACTCAATCTGGTTTGTGCAAAATGTAACTGCCTTCCTCAACCCTTACAAAGTAACAAAATAACGAAGAGTTACCACTTAATTTATGGATAATTTTCCGCCGCTTACCTCCTGATTTAAGTTACCTACTCGTATGCATGTGACAAAACAAAGTAGGCCTAAATATCTCAAAATCAGACACAAGCTTCAATATAAGGAATAATTGATGTCTATAAGTCTGGAAAGTTTATTCCAAAGGAACGGGGATACAATCACACCTCAATAAAAGCCATTATCTGGAAATGGAGAAAATATGGAGCTGTGATAGTCTATCAAACTGATTCAACAGCTCTTCCAAAACTCATTCAGGAGGTCACAAAATAATCCAAAAAAATCAACAAAACCCCAGGAGGAAAAGGTTTAACAATCAGGAAGATGCAGGACAAAACCTCCATGGGTCTTTTGCAGTCACGTGACCTTGACACAAGGAGGCGCCATGTTGGGGGGTAACCTGCCTAATCGCAATGAAGTTCATTTGAGTTCAAGTATTGACAGTAAAGCCGCAATGACAGCTCGATAACTTCAGCAACATGGACAGCCACAATAAAAACGAGAAGAAGCCTTACAGAGATAAACTCAATAGGGACGCCAGAGACCGGTATTTAGCTAAGCTAACCTCAATTAGCAATATAGATCCGTATGAGCTAGCAGCTAAAGCATGGACAGCCGATCCCTCGCTATTTCCACCAACTACAAATATGGACATAATTTGTTATCTAGTTAATGGTGTTAGTGCATATACACTTGAAGAATTCCGAAACTACAAATCTCTGGACGCTCATGGACTGTTTAGTAACGGTTGGGTGCAAGATTTATACTCATTTCAACCAGAAGGATGCACTAACACTGTGGTCACCACAAAGGTAAGATGTTAGTCAAACTTGTACAAGTCTTCACTTCACAGCTTTATCTAAGTGTAAATTATGGTGCATCCGAACCTATCAAGCGGCAAAAAGCTTCCAAAATTATTAAACTCAAAGTACATAAAGCTCTTTTACATGGTAAATAAATTTAATCTTGTGACCCCTGGAATTTTAAGGTTCATAGCAAATATATAGGTGTTTTTTTTGTTGGTTTTGGTAAAAAAGAAAAGGTAAATCTCCTCGGGACGCTTGAATAGCAGCTCTAATTTCTCACACGGTAACCCCCCAATATGGCGCTAATTACCCACAATGCACAGGGCGTGACGTCACGTGCGAAAGACCCATTGGAGAACAGCGAAGCTCGTCTCACATTCACCCTAAAACATCTGCATGACCCCAAAGAATTCTGGGAAAATATTCTCAGGACTGATGTGACCTAAAAGTCAAACATTGGGATGGTAGTGGGAATATCAGGGGCTGCTTTGCTTTTTAAAGTTTGGAGTTAATTTCACTTTCAAGTAGAACCAGGTTGGGATTGGATACATTGTTTTACCATTAATAAATGAAATTATCTCTTCAGCAAATTTCTATTTAGTCAGATGAGATTTATGTGATATAAGATGTAGAAAATCTAACAGGGGGGAGGAGAGGGAGGCACAAAATGTCTGGTCAGGGTGAAAAAGCTTCTTTTAAATATTTGAAAAATCTCTAAGATTTAAGCGAAATCAATAAAATACAGAAAAAAATTGTATAAATGTATCTTTTAAGACACTATCATTCTTCCTTTCTTAAATCTTACAGTCGCTGCTTACTACTCATCTGTCTCATTTTGCCAGAGAAAATATAAATGATAAACTTGAGTTAGTAATTATTTATCAAGCATTTGAATGATATAAAAGTGATGGGCAGCCAAGGGGGCAGGTTCTACAGCAGTTGTGCCCTTGCCCCCTGTAGAGACGCCCCTGAATGTCTTTATTATTGTACAGAAACATATACAAAGTTGAGATTTTATTGAGTTAAAAGAGAAAAAAAGACTCAAAGGGTTTTCTTTTGTTTCATGTCTGGTGTAGCTGTCTGTTCTGTCAGTCCACAGAAGAACCCAGGTTGTCACAGAATTCAAAGTGATCGTCTGATTTGTGGATCAGTGCCGGATTTCGACTTTAGTGGAGATGAAAAAATTCAGCCATGATCTGAAGAGCTGCACCGTGTTTCGCATTCAGATATGAGTTAAAGGCTGCTAGATTTCTTATCTCTACTTCAAACTTCAGCTTTGAATCCAGCCATATGCTCTCCCTCATTTAATTTTAGACAGACAGACAGACA